GGATTGCACAACGTCAGCTCATCAGCTTGTCATCAACTCACCTCCCCGCAATCTTCATCCTCACTGCCTCTTCCACACCCACGCTCCACCCTCATCATCATGGCAGTCTCTCGAACCTTTGTGCGCGGTCTGCTGACCCGTCAGATGGCCAAGAGCAGCAACGCGCACGTCCACCTGCCTGTCATCTCTGTCCCTTGCAGTCTGGCACACGGTGCTTGCTCCAGCAGCAACGCCATCGCCGGACCTTCAAGCCTCCTCGGCGCAATGTCCGACGCTGCGCGGCCATTCAGCAGCACGCCCATCTCCTTCAAGGGCAAAGAGGCCAGTGCGGGCGAGCACGCGTCCATTGATCCATCCATCAAACAACCCTACCCAGCTTCTGAGCTGGAGCAGCGTCAAAAGTCTGACTTGGGCCACGCAACGGTTGGCAGGGTGGAGAGCAAAGCCAAACGCAGTCTGGCCTCTTTCAACATGCAGGGTAAAGTGTGCGTAGTGACTGGAGCTGCGAGGGGATTGGGTAATTTGATCGCTAGGACTTTCATAGAGAGCGGAGCGGATCGTTTGGCCATCTTGGACTTGGACGCTAAGCAGAGCCAAGATGCTGCTGAAGATGTGCTGAAGTGGTTCGAAGAGAATGGACAGGTGTTCGAGGGGGAGATCGAAGTGCAAGGTTGGGGCGTCAATGTGGCGGACGAGGAGAGCGTGGCGCGCACCATGCAAGACATTCGACGCAAATGGGGAAGCATAGATGTGCTGGTCAACAGTGCCGGCATAGTGGAGAATTATCCGGCAGAAGAGTACCCCACGCCAAACATCAAGAAGCTGTTCGATATCAACATTACAGGAAGCTACTTTGTGGCTAGGGAAGCAGCCAAAATCATGCTGCAAGATCAGAGACCAGGTTCCATCGTGCTCATCGCTTCCATGTCTGCATCCGTCGTCAATGTTCCTCAAGCTCAGTCTCCGTACAACGCTTCCAAAGCCGCAGTCGTGCAGCTCGCAAAGTCCCTCGCCGTCGAGTGGGCTACGCGCGGTATTCGAGTCAATACGCTCAGGTGAGTTGAACGCGTGTAATTGCCTTCCCGACTGCGCTCAATGCTCAACTGGCGCGTCTGCCTTGCTCGTTGGCGCTTTAGCCCTGGATACATGGCTACGGCTCTGACCAAGCAAGTGCTCGAACAGAGCCCGAGCGGTAAAGAGCTCAAAGCCAAGTGGGAAGCGTACACTCCCATGGGACGCATGGGCGATCCTCAAGATCTCAAGGGCGCAGTCGTCTACCTCGCCAGCGACGCTAGCGCCTTTACAACGGGTCAAGACATCATCGTCGACGGTGGCTACACTGCCATCTGATCCGCCTTTCCTCTCCTCCCCGACGAACGGCAGCAGCATTGCCTAGCCCCCCCCCGTACCCTGTCATTCGACTTTACGAATGTTCTCTCCGTGCCTCGTCCCGTGCGCAAATTAGAAATTAGACCATGCTCTTACATGACCATCGTCTCTTGGACCCTTAGCGGTGATGAAGTTCGCAGCCAGCATCCCTGAGTGACAAACGACCAATCGCTACAGACATGCTGGCCCGTGGCCAATGCCAGACCTGTGCGCGTATGGAGATGCTCAACAGCAGCAGGTCTTGAATGAGGTACCGAAAAGCTCTATGCCTGGAGAAGATGCGCAGTGAGCTGCTCAAAGTAGGTATCGTAATTCCGTTCGGAAAGGCAAGTTGCGAACAGCGACGAGTGCCGAACAAAATGCTATCAAAAAGGGTGACTGATGGATTGATGGAAATGGATTTGTGAAAGGAATTCCTTGCATTCCCGCTACTGCGTCGTCGCAGCAAGTCAGAAAGCGTCGTCGCCGCTCTCGCTAAAGAAGCCGGCGTAGGTGAGCACTGTGGGCGCGAAGGGGGCAAGGCGAGGGCCAAATTTTTTTAGTTGGGCTCGTAGATGGTACGGCGCCTTGCGAGGAAATTCGTTGGGGGAACACGACATTCCACATATGGCGTGCCTGGCTTATGCATGGATCTCGAATCATCATGTTTGCTTGAGAAGCAACTTGCCTACGTGCCGACTTGCGCATGATCAACCCGCTTGCTCAGCTTTACTGTTTTCCCGTCCTCGGTGATACCAGCCACGGTGCTCTACCGCCGCAGCCTCCTGTTACTCATAGCCGCATCTGCTCGACTCACTCGTACCATACACCAGCGCCCCTCCCAGACTGCTCATGATACAAGCCGCAACCCTGATGACGCCGGCATGTGCCAAGACGAGCGGCAATGCAATGCCGGAGACGACCGTGGTGCTGGTCAACCAATTTCCGAAATCCACATAGGCGCTATTGTAATCCGCGCTGAAATCGTCTGCTCCTGCGCAGCGCGCGCAGATGGTGTTTGGAAGAGGAGCTAGCACATAGAGCAATGCGACGAGCAGTGGGAGCCAATTGGAAAAGAGCGCGCAGGAGAGAATGACGAGTAGGAAGCCTAGTGCGAGGGAAATGGAGAGGAAAATGATCGCTGCGGTATGCCAAGTGGGGTAGGACATGGATGATGAATGCTATTCACCTCGAAGCGCATCACGAGGGGGCATGCCCATGATTGGGACTTGCAGTGCGATATGCATGATGCCTTTCGTTACTCACTCTTGATACCCGCCATCTTGCCACTGCCGCGTGACAACAACCCGTCACCTTCCAGCAAGCAGGTCCTTTCCTGGAAATAGATGTCAAGCACTACGATCTTGATGTTTCAGTCGCAATCCTTCGAATGGAATGCGAGTTTAACGAACGCTATGAAGTAGTGATGGGGTAGTCACAGTGAGTAGGTATGCAGGCATACATACCCTTCCTGACAACAAAGATGCGGGCGCACAGGAATGGTAGCACATTCAGATTGCACGCGGCTGTTCATACCATATCGCGTGCGTGTGGTGTGTGATTTCTTGGCACGGTTATCGCACGAAAAGAGTGTGCAAGGCACGTGATTATGATGGCTACTCTGCAATTCCAGATTCGTGATTGATGGTCTGGCCACTCGCTCCTTGGCAGCGCGTGCTGCGCTGTAGCTAAAGGGGCTAAAAGCGCGTGCGCTGCACCGCCTCTCGCGCGCGAATATCAAACGCGGCGGGCCGCTTAATTGCGCGTGAATGAAGGCGAGGGGGAGGGGTTGGATTCGTGGTTCAAATTGCACCTAATCGAATCAAGAACACATGCCATGCATGGCTCGGGCATCAGCACATACGGATTGACATGCAAATTCAATTCAGGATTTATTCGCTTGCGAAGTGCGCTAGGAGAAATGTTTGAGCTTTAAACGTTGCCGCCGTACTCGCACTGCTTGCTATACCGCCGCTCAATGACTTGTGATTGCCAGCACGCGGTACAGACTCTGAAAGGGGGGGAATGATCTCCACTTCGTCATGATCAGTCACACTACCGGCATCTTCTTCATTCTCAACATGCACCCTCCTCTTCTGCACATCAGCCCATCATTCTAAAGCTTGGGCCGCGGTGCTGCCACACGCGAGCTTGGACACCGCCATTCATCGATCCAGACTCGCGCCGCGTTCATCGCCCACAATCTCAATCGGAATCGGATCGGCGCGGCGCGGCGCGGCGCGGCATCGATCGT